GTGGAAACACTATGTATCCAATAGAAAACTCAAGGTTATTTCATTGTACACAGAAATAATGTCTGAGGAAATCAACAGAAGAAAGTACTACTGATTATATGATAAAAGCAGAAAATGCTGCCACTTCTTTAAAAACATTAGGACAATATCATCTGTAATAGTCTATTAATAGCTATGGTCTTAAGGAGACTGCAATCAAAATTCAAACCATTTACTAACATTATCAATCAAAAAAGAAAAAAAAAACTTTAATGATTAGTAAATTCAAGATAGCCCCTAAAATTTTCAGAGTTTGGAAAGATTGCTACAAAAACAATAGAGAAAACAGTGTGATGAGAATTAGAAGAAAAGGGTAAAAGTCAAAATTAAGAAACAGAATATTGTCTTATGCATGTGGAAAACAAGGACATAGAGCAGTATAGAGTAAGTAAAAATAAGATTAAAAAAAAAAAACTTCTTAAAGTGGAACATTTCTTTCTGTTTTTAGCTTGAATGGATATCATATATAATGTAAGTGATATGTTGGTTGATTGTGGGGTAATACTGCCTATCATGTATGAGTTGAAATTTGTAAAGTTCAATAATTTTAACCCTAAAACCATTTTATCAAGTTGGTGGAACAACAAATAATATCACTTTGAAGTAGGATAGTACCTGCACTTCTTTGGTAGAATCAAATGGGAATATATAATTCTGTAATGAAACATACATTTTTTATACTCTCATTTAAACAGGATATTTTTCTGTCCAAGCAGCCATCAACAAAGATGCTTCTATTAGATTTAAGCAGAATTCTGATGACATGATGTGTCCTGATGATAGAAAATTTATTATATTTAAGAAATAGGCTTTAATACCTTCCCAACAATACAATTTTATCAACGTATATATTATGCAAGCCTAAGAAATCTTAAACTATTGTAACATGAAAGATATAATCAAGTTTGAAAATATTGTTAATATTTTCAGCCTATTTCTTAAATATATTAAATTTTCTATCATCAGGACACATCATGTCATCAGAATTCTGCTTAAATCTAATATGAAAAATTACACAGAAACAATATTGACTATGAAATTTGTACTGAAGGAAAAAATATGACTGCTAAAATAGAATTCAATAATGAGATTAGTGAATTGTGATTTAGTCAGATAGGTCATATTGATAAAGATGGTTTCTGGTACAGTTTCATGGACAAATATTCAGGTCTTATTAGGGCTTATCTCTTAAATCAAAAGTGATAGCCTACAAGCCACTTTGAAATGACACTGTATACATAAGTGAAATGTACTTGAAATGATCAGTTTGGAATCACTTAGCCATATTAAGCATTAAAAATTTCTGCTCCATGCTTGGGTCACTTTGCTATTTATTCAGGTCAAGATTACGGAAAATCCTATGGACATATGCTGTCATGATTGCTGCATATATTTGAAACAAAGCAGGAAAAATGGCATTTGATGTGTTCACTGAATTGGAGACAAATATTAGAAACATGCATTGTTTATGAATAAAAAGCAGCTTAAGAATAGAAGTGAGAAAGCTATTTTTGTAGATTATGACAAAGGTAGTCTGGCATATCTTGTATATTTTCCAGAAATAAAATAAATTTAAAAATTATTTGAAATTGTGAATTTTGGCAGTGAATCTATTCAGCCACCACTTGTGCCAGTCAGTGATTAAATAATAAGACCCAAGTGTCATACACTGATTTACTTGGGTTATTGTCCTCATCTTGGTTGTTATTATCACAATGTTTCAATCAGCCTACAAGAAGTGAATAAGGGAACTGGAGAATACAATGACTAGAATGTTATGACAATGACACTAGTCAGAGTAAATTAGTGAATAATAATACCTCAGTTCAAAAATTTATGACCAAAGTGACTTGATTGTGTTGAGCAATCCCCTTGGAAAATGAGAACATTGTTGAAAATCTAGCAGAAAGACATCACCCGGATATAGATTATCATATAGATCACCATGTTATAGGTCAAAGTCAAAATCAACAAGATACCTGCAGAAAAGAAAATGAAACTGTTGATTAGGAAGGCAGATCTGAGCATACTAAAAATCATTGTATTGAGGAAGTGATACCAATCAATATCCAAGCAGGAAAAGCAAAATAATTGTAGTAAAGCAAAATATCTTGAAGGTTATGTTGTTGGTGATGATGTGAAAATACACCACAAAATATTGTTCCTAATTAGTTAATGTACCCAAACATACCAAGAAGCCATAACATCTGTTAATTCAAGTCATACAAGACGAAATGAATGCTCTAAATAGGTATAATAATACATATAATTTAGTTTCCTTACCATCAGTGGCAAGGGTGTCATTGGATTTCATGATTAAATCCAATAAAAATGTCAAGGAAAAATATCAGGCACATTTTGTCACAAAGGGGAATTCCCAAATTCTTGATGCTATTGTAATTATTATGTTTGTGCCTATGTTAATTCAACTGACTGTTCAGTATAGTTTATTCGTTTCCCAAATTGATGATAAAACTGTATATTTGAATGTGTTCCAATAGATTTTGAACTGTATATGGATCAACTAGAAGGTTTTGTAATTAAGGACAAAAACCTACTATGTATGCTAGTAGGTGATATCACACACTGGAGGGCAATTTCAACTGTTGGGTGGGTGATGAGCAACCGAACAGAAAATGGTGGGTGATTGTAAATTTTTAAAGGTGATATAGGATTTTGAGTATCAAAAAAGTAACATATGCTATCCCCATAAAAAAATATTCAAAGAACTTGTATAAAAAAAAAAAAACAAACAAACAAAAACAGGAGGCTAAATAAGAAAAACTGGGTCACCTTTATAGATTTGTGTTCATAATTATAAGATTAAAAAGAATAAAAAAAATTCAGCAACCTTGGTCTCCTTTTATTTGATTTATATCTGAAAAAAGTTATTTCATCTGAAGAACTATTTGAATGTTAATGACCCTTCTCAAAACTATAGAAAATACCATAGTATTCGTTGTTTGCAAGGATGTGTGTGTGTATATATATATATATATTTCAAACATGTATTATTAGATATAACAGACAACAAATTTCTAGTATGTTTTATCAGAAGCTGTTCCAAGCTTCGTATATTGGCTTTAATTTCAGGAGAAAATAAGGACAAAAAATGTCTAACATATGGATATTTCTTTGTGTTGTTCATCGATTTAAGCTTTTGGCTCACATGAGCCATCATCAGTGTGGTTATTTAGACTGTATGACAATGATCTGCTGCCCTTATACACTACATTTTGCTTTAGTTTGTCCTTTAATATGGTAGTATCAGCAGAAGCTGCTACATAAGTCAGTGTTATGTTGCTTCCCTTTGGTATTTTTTTTTTTTACTACATCATAAAGTCAGTTTATGAACCAGTAACAAACTTTTACCAAACAATTTTGGTATGCTTTTGAATATTTACTATATAGGTGAGTGGTGGAAAATTTTTTCCAAGTGAAAGTGGGTGAGGAATCAAAAAAAGTTGGGAAGCACTGATGTAGATTAAAAATCATTATCTAGCCTGAAATAAAGTGAACAGGATGAGAAAACTGTATTGCATTTCCAATCAAAATGTTATTCAGTCACTTGCTGATCCTTCTGTTAGAGATAAAATAAGATAAAACAATTTCATAAGATGATAATAATATTAATGCACAACCTGTAATTCAACACTCACTGATGTAAAAAATGTTTCAATCAAATAATTTCAAAATCTAAGGTCCAAGAAAAATTACTTGGTTCCATGTTGGAAGTTGATATAATTAGAATGAGCCAATCCAAATATATAGAAAAGTTGATCACAAAATTTATGTAGAATTATAAACCCAAAATTGTGAAATGAATATAAAGATAAATGAGGACAATTCTGAATTGGTTGATCACAAATTGTAAAGAGAAATAGTTGGACATTCAATCTGTGCTATATTGTAACAGAATTGTCACACCATCAGGTGAAGCCTACTGTTGCCCAATTAACTTGGCTAAGATATGTCTTAAAGTTATCTGAAATATATAAATAATTAAAATTTAATTTTCAAATAGCCATTTAAATGAGAGTTATATTGCTTTCTGCTTTGTAGACTTGGGTAATTCTGAGCAATTTTCTAAAACAGCCAGTTTTTACTAATGGTTGGCTGCTTATGAATACTATCAATGTATTTGTTTGACTTCATGATTAAATAAACAAAAAAAAAACTTAACAGCAGCAGTAGTAGTATCCACACTACAACAAAACTAACACAACTGTTCAGTATGGCTTTGTCATACACACACACACATATATATATATATATATATATATATATATATATATATATATATATATACACACACACACATACTTCCAAGGAGGAACTTCTTCAGTCTAATAACAATTTTATTGATGGAATATACAACATTGGTAGCCATACTGAATAGATGTGTTAGTTTGTTGTATTGTAGATACTACTGCTGCTTACACTGTTTTTTTTTTCATTTTGACCATCAAGATTCGACAGAATTCATGATAAGCAAAATATTACAAAAAATACTGGCTGTTTTACAAAATGGCTTACAAATACTGTATGATAAACAGCCAAGTCTCTGATACCCCTATCCCCTGACAATTTGGGTTAATCTTAGCTTTAAATCTATCCTGGAAAACCTCAAAAGAATAAAATACTTCAAGCAAGCATGGTGTACGTGTTCAAGGACAATGTTGCATTGATGTTCCTCCATACAAGAAAAATAACAAAAAGGGAAGTTCAATTAAAACATGATTATCAATGAAAGAATCCACTGAATTCTAACTGAAGCAGAAACAGAATTTTAACATCGATGCCAGGGAAATAATTAAGCCAAAGTTTGAGTCAGTGAATGTATTCAGACACCGTTTCTCTTCCCACCCTTAAAAAGATTTTTTTTTTTAAAGAGGCTGCAGGCAAAGCCTCATCTTCATTACTTTCTCCGAGTGTTTGCTGAGGACACAAGATAATTTCATTCATTTAACAACTTCTAACCACAAATAGAAGAGAGAGAGAGAGAGAGAGAGAGAGAGAGAGAAAATGGGTATTTCAGGTTTTATTGAGAAAGAGAGAAAACAAGACCTGTCTTCATCATTGCTTGGAATCTTTGCAATTAAATGTATTGATGAAGCTGACTGCACTGTCGATGACAATGACACCGTTAAGGTTGATATTGCAGTCACTGAAGCAGTAAATGAACATCACTATATTGCTACTTTGACTCATTTCCTTCTTTCTACTTTCAAGTAAAGCCACATCTGGTCTATATTTACATTTAAACAGTATAATCAAGAAGTGGCTAGAAGTGTGTCAATGGATGGGTTGTGATTGCAGGGAAGACAGGGTAGTTATATACGTAGACAGAATGCATATATAATTAATGAACACTTGCAAATCTGTAGGCTTAAATGTATTACATCAGATTAAGACCATGATGTATACACTACTAATGCATCCAAAAATTCAAAGGGAAAGTACAGATGACATATGTATCTCATTTGTGTATCAGTGGGGTTTGCTTTCATTGTTGACCTTAGTCAGTTTTTCCAGATTTTCAATTCATTTCTAAAATAAAATGTGCATTTATAATATGCATAATAGCTCTAATTCAGCAATGCATGCTTTAATTTCTAGTAAAATTATTTTATATTACATTTATATTTTAACTATTAGAGTTTATTTTGTCTGACTCTTGACAACTACTTGATCAAATTTTAGTTGGAAACTGCAAAATTGAGTTCTGAATCAAATTTTATTTCCCTACTGTTAGAAATATTTAGCTTATTACTTTGGAGACATGACAAAAACTAAGAGTAAGAAAGTTACTAGGTAGAAAGAAGAGAAACAAAATCTAGTCAATATATATGTGGTTCAAATGCAGTATTAAAATGTGACAATGATTAACATTTTTGTTTCCTAACCACCAAAATTTACTGTGTCATTGTTAGAATGAATTATTAAAGTTTTCAAATAACTGTTTAATAAAACATTTCTGTAATATAATAGGTGATATAAATGCTGGTCATCAATAAGTTGATAATTTTCATGAAACCAGATTTGAGTATATGCAAAATCTTTTTCAAATTTTGCTGATACATTATTAAAAGTAATAAATATTACAGAAAATGACTATAAAATGAACATTTTTGTTTTATTCAATGCTGCAGCACAAGTTTGAAATATAGAGACAAAAATCAAAAGATTAAATGAAATATAAGATTTCAGTTATTTAATAATTTCTCACAGTACATTCCAAACTTGTTCTATGTAATGATACCAGGTTAAGTCAAGTTTTTTCAGATTTTCACCAATGATTTTTGACAACCTGTATCTCCCTGTTATATCAGTAATTTGATACAGCCTCTTAACCAATTTTTACTGAATTGTTTATTCTTTATTTTCATATATAACATTAATTATTTTTATTTTTATTTTACAGCATTGATAATAGGTGATGAAAAAAAAAAAGACTGAGTGCAAGGGCAAGAACAAAAGAAATTAATGATGTAGAAGGCCCAGGAACAGTCAATGAATGCGTGGTACAAAACTGGTTGATGCTTCAAGGAAGGTGACACCAGCTTTGTTGACAAACCAACATTCCGAAGACATGTTGGAGTAGATGAAACCTTGATTGAAATGGTTAAGCAGCCAAGCACAAGCACTTGTACATTGTCAGCAGAACTTGATCGTTCACAAAGTACCATCAATCAACACCTCCATAAAGCCAGCCTTGTGAATAGATGCAGTTGAGAATATCCTCATGAATTGACCAATGACCAGGCTCAATGATGTGTGAACATTTGCAAAGAACTGCTGGTAAATCCTCAAGCTGCCTGTTTTGGGTTTCAAATTGTAACTGGGGATGAAAAATGGATCTATTTTCATAATCCTAATAAGAGAAATCAGTGGCTTCATTCTTGCTATGCTTCAGAACACTTTGTCAAACAAGGGTGGCTTGAACAGAAAGTCATGGTGTGTGGTGGAATTTCCAAGCGGTGCAGCACTGAGCTTGTCACAGATCGTCATGTTGTGAATGTTGACCTTTATGCTCAACAACAGCAGTGAGTATATGATGCTTTTAAAGCCTGTTACTTTGCATTAGTCAATTGAAGATGTGCATTCCTACAGCATGACAATGAATCAGCACACACTGCCAATATGACTAAGTGCAAACTTGATCTCGAGGGGCTGGAAGTACTGCCTACAGTCTAGTCCTTGCACCATCAGATTAGAACCTTTTTTGAACCATGGCTCATTTCCTGTGTGTTCAAATGTGGATGAGGTTGAAAATGGATGTGGGACTTGAGTTTCTGGCCCAATGATGGCAACAGACAATAAAATATGATGGGATATATTTTGATGAATAAACACTTTTCATATGTAATTTGTTTGAACTATTACTTAAAGCTAGAAATATGAAAAAAAAAAAAAAAAAAACTTTTGACTCAACCTCAACATGAAAAGATTAGGAAGATCATGAAACACTCAAAGTTCTATAAGGCTGTGTTCTCACAAAACAAAACTTGTGATAAATGCATACTATACCATCAAGGAGTTACTAAGATAGCAGTATTAAATAACGAAACATATCCAGAGTGCTAAATATCTAGATTTCAAGTAGGTTATGTCAGAATAAAGAAGATTTAAGGTAATACCTATATACAAAAAACAAGCAATAGATGTGAAATGGTGAAGATATTTACTTGAAGTAAGTGAAATATCAAATTCAGATCACTGACAAATGGTAAGATTTTACATTTTAAGAAAAGGCATAAACTTAAAAATTTCTATGCAGTGTTTAACATTACCATTGTCTTGACAATCTTGTTAGTGACATAATGTTGGATATCTGGTGAAGTGAATAAGAGAGATCATTTAGAAGATGAGATGTGTTGTGAGTTTTGTTTAAAATATCCAATGTTACCTGACATGATCTAAGAATCAAGCACCCATTGGAAATGCTAATAATACTTCAAATATGGATTTCACCCACTCTCTATGAAATGAAATGAATAAGAATTATTTCACAAGAAAATAATAATCTAAGTATTATCATCTCTCAACAGCTACTGAGTAGATTAGACATTGGGTGATACATTACAGGAACAAACAAAAGTATTGTCAGTTTTTCTGCTGGAATAAAGATAACCATAAAGACAAATATTTTACTTATTATTGACTGCAGGAGCAACCAACTTCCAGTAATATGTAAACTTAGAGTGAAACTATGGAAATTGAAGGGGGCCATGGTAGTACACAAATTGCAATATGACAGACTTCTGAATGACCCAAATGTGGAGGAGAAATATATGGACAGTGTTAAAAGATGCAATGGATGAAATGAGAATGGAAATTTTTAAGTGGGACACATTAAGAGAAGCTTTAGTAACATCAGCAATTGAGATAAAGAATAAGACAAAGGAAAAAAATAGATGAGAGTTTCTTGACATGATGAAGAGACAAAAACAATGCCAAGTTATGGCACAGAATATAGGACTCTGCACAAAGAAATTAGGAACAAATACAGGCAGGCTAAAGAGGAATAGCTCAAAGAAAAATATGCAGAAACAGAAAGAATGAGTATCACAGATAAAGCAAATACACATAAAAAAATAAGAGAACTGACAGGACAAGACATGACATGCTCATCAACAGGATGCATAAAATCCAAGGATGGAACATTGATATTAGAGAAAGAAAAATACTTCAGAGATGGAATGAATACATCAGGGAACTCTTCCTCGATGAAAGAGAACAACTGGCAATACACAAATATATTAAAGGACCAGAAATATTAAAACCTGAAATGGAATCAGCACTGGACAAAGCAGCAGGATCAGACAGAATTGTAATAGGGATGCTGGCAGTGTTAGATGATTTTAGCATCAACAATATTGGACACATAATAAATGAAATATATAACAGTGGTGATATACCTGAAAACCTAAGTAGATCTTCATAGCACTACCTAAGAAGCCAGGTACAAACAAATGTTAACTCCATCAGACAATAACAAAATTTATCATCTAAATTCTGATGAATAGAGCGTACAGTGGAATCAAACTGGAAATAGGACAAGAACAGTGTTGATTCATTCAAGACACTGAAACAAGGAATGATATATTTATGCTCAGAATGATACCAGAAAGAGCAGTACAAATGCAGAAAGATGTCTACCTGTTTTTATAGATTATGCAAAAGCATCTGATAAAGTAAGTCACAAAGAACTGTTAGAAATGCTATGTAACCTTGACATATTTGGGAAAGATATTAGAATAATCCAGAACCTATTCTGGCAGCAAACAACCTCTATACATATAGAAAATGAGTGCAGCAAATATACAAATATAGAAAGGGGTACAAGACAAGGATGTGTCTTATCACCAGACTCATTCAACCTGCACAATGAGGCAATTCTAAGAGAATTAGAAGTCCTACCAGGATTCATTTATGGCAGTCACAACCATAACATAAGATATGCAGATGACACGGTGTTGATAGCAGATGCAGAAAGGAAAGTACAAAACTCCTACAGAAGGTAGTGAAGGAAATGGAGGAGAAAGGAGTAAACATCAATTACAAGAAGATGAAATGCATGGTTATTAGCAAAAGGAACAGCCCAACATGCAAATTACAAATTGGAGATATCAAAATCAAACAAGTACAAAAAATTAAATATCTGCAAAATGTTTTAACAGAGGAAGAAAAGTGTGACACTGAAATCCAAAGGCACATTGGGATAATGAAAGATGTCTTCCAAAAGCCAAGCAAATTATTAAGAAAGAGAAACATTTCATTAGAAACAAAAAAACTGTACTGAACTGTTATTCAATATTAGCCCTCTTGAACATATGAACAAAATATATGCCCATTTTGCTTGATGCATTAGTGCAATATTTTTATATTACATTGTTTATGTGTACCACTTTGCATCTCCTCTTTTGGGTGTTGTTTGAATTGTTTTAAGCATTTTTATATAGTTTTTTTTCTTTTATAATGTATGAAAGTAAAAATGAATTAATGTGATTTTTGTGCCATTATGCTTCATGAAATTTAGAATCTGGTATTGTTCCACCAAAGACATCAACAGTGCTTGGAATGTCAAGTCAGCTTTAGAGATAATTGTGCATTATTATTTATAATAATTTGTTTTTGGTGATCTGGATCTCCAAGATGAGCTTG